TCTAATAACTTTTAATAAATACAACAGCAACAATAACAACAACTACTACTACTAATTACCACTAGGTATCAATAAACAGATAACAGTAAGTAATTGATAAATTACGAACCAGAACGATAGGGATTCGCTCTGTACTTGAAAGCAATCCGGATACTACAGCGGTGACTACTTTGGATACTGCAGATAGGGTCGATATTCACGAGAGTGCATCTACGCTTTTGCGACAAGTGTGAACAAATACTAAACCTTAACGTTAGCATCTAATAATTGAAGGTTTAGACACCAGACCCCTGTGTAACAAAAACACCGGAACTTTATACGATAAATAGATGGAAGAACTTTGTTATTTGATCAGGATATGGGTAAGCAACACACAAAATAGATGAATACATGGAATATTAGCAGAGGTTATTAATCAAGTTAGTTAGATGGATGATTAAAACAATGCGATGTACACGAAGTTCGAATATTACATGTATGAAATACAAAAAATGGCAGTTAAGGATGAGTGGAAGTAAAACAATGTTTTATTCACTTTTTAGAGAAATAAATAAATAAAGACACTGGCACCGAGAGAAGTGGGTTCGAATACCATTATTTAATGTCTTTTAGACTATACTAGGCATTTTGAAGTTAAAACACATAGTTGTCTGATGAATAGATACATCAGGCATGTAAGTTAAAACTCAAATAAGTATTTTGACTAATCAAGCTATATAAACAGAAATCAAAACACCGGCATAACGGTTTATACAGAAGCGTACCAGTTACAGATGGAAAGCAATTTACAGGTTATGCGACAGTAGTGCAATGAATTCATAGGTGTTAATTTTGGAGTTCACTAAGCGAAAAAACGTCGCTAAGGATAGGCATTCATACTCGAAAACTTTCACATCAAAGAACGAACGAGGATAAAGACTTTATTTAACAACAGCTACACAACTGCTTTTTAAACACAATTTTAGACAGAATTTAAACCACTCCTTTTTCAAATATTTTAGTTCGCTAAAACTGTTTCCACTTGTAATGAAATGGCTTGGTAATTGCTGGAGATTTAAATAACACAGTGAGATCGTTTTACTCGTGAAAAGTACACAGTTGACAATGTAGTATTTTAAGTTCAGCCATCACTCAAAGTACATGATAATCTATAACAAGGTACATTAAAGTTGTTGTTCATACTGAAACTACACAACGATTCAAACGAAAATAAACGCATTAGCATTGTGCATGTTTACAAAAGTGTTTCACATTTGTAAAGACAATTCAGTGAGTTTAACTGCACAAAAGTGCTACATTTATTTAACTTCAAATAAAAAAACAAATAAGCTTGTACTTTAAAATCAATTATATTCTGAAAGGTAGTTGGATAAATATTAGTGTGAATGTATCATTTATGAAACCCTTTGACTAGATAGAATGAGCACTGATGAGTGCAGAATAATATTTGAGTGTTTTTATGACATTGCAAACATTATTACTCGGTATCTACACTTTGTGATAAAACTTTAACAAGATGATTCGAGTTATGTCTACTTAGTCATTAAAAAATCCAGCTAAATGACTGCTACGACATACTTAGACTACATGATACATAAACTTAGTGATTCTGAGGTCAAAATGAAGTTTCTAAGTTCAGTATAGTTTTTTTGGAGGGGGGAGTTGTAAAAGCGGACGAATCAATTGTAACGAAATAGAATAATACTACTTGTAGAAGAGATTAAATTACAAGCGATATGTTAGGCGTAAACAGATCGCTGTTGGGATTAACATGCAGCAGTTATTCAACTAGTACTGATAAAAGTCCGCTTCAAACCGTCAACTGAATCACTTTCTACTGACAATTATTCAGCATAAATGCTTTATGAACTAAAAGGTACGTCACAAATTAATGTTAGGATACTAAGCATTTGTCCAGCTTAAGTGGGTGAGACAGGAATAAATAGGTAATGTAGCTTAACACCCACTTACATCGGTATACGGCTGATAATCTACTACACCTATCATGTAAAGGCTAATGATACTGTGGAGGTGCGATAGAGACAATGTGTTCCAACGGATTATTATTCTGACATATTCCTACAGTTCAATACTGCGTTAGCAACAGAATACTACGTATATTTCATCATTTTATTTTATGTCGTTTAATGTAGGCCAAAATCACACACTAAGTGATTTTTTCTTCACGTTCCCCAGTGGAACATAGGGCTTCAAGCTAGTGGCTTGAAGTTTCTGTAGCAGTGTTTATTTTACAGGATCGGGTTGCTAGCCTCATGCCCAACCTTTCCTCTTTACTAGCATGATTTCTGGCTTAGCAAGGTAAATGAGTGCGTCGGCCGGGGATCGAACCCCGGACCATGTGCATGGTCGGCGAGCGTCCTAACCGCTATACCACCAACGCACACTCAGTGATTGGTTAAAGAATATAACCAGTATAGATATAAATAGCGGTTTGATCACTTGAAAATATACCTTGGCTTTTGTGTCTTGCCTTCTGTTGTTACAATACTATGACATCTCTCGACTGATAGAGAGAGCTTTGAACGCATGACTCACTCATTGGTTGAAAAGTAAGTCCATAAACCAATGAAACAAAGCTCCACAGAATAAGTTGAACTCAAGTGAAAAAATATTTGAATTCCAAGCACAAGACAGCCAGCAAGCGAGTGCGTTAACTGATTCTAGATATTCAAAAATAGACTGTCAGATTATGATCTAGTAGTAAATTATCTTTACAAGAATTATTTTGTATGAATTACAACATAAGTTATCAATTACTTGAAGATTTGTACAATAAGCTGTGCCTTAAACCTACTGAACAATGCTAGTTACCCCATTCAGATTTTTTATACACTAGAGCATAAGTCGAACTTATTGTATGAGCACCAATGATCCTAACAAGCACTCAAATTGAAGTAACTGAATATAGAAAAAATCCCCCTTTAGACATTTAGAAAATAGATTGATTTAAGAATAGAAATTGGATAGAATCTCATGATATAGAACATTTGCTTAATAAGATATCTCAGTATCATACAGTAATATATACTGATGAAGTTTCAAGCACAATTTATCGCTGATAATGATATGAAGGTTATTTGATACAGGTTTCTCAACAATCCAGAAAGAGTAGAGACAAGATATGCATCTTTAAAAATTTGAAACTACCGTTTATCAGTAGGAAATACTCATGGAATAATACAATCGTACGACATTACACAAGCAGACTGCATTTATCTACATTTTCCACTATTCACACAGCACCGATGTAGAGATGAAGACATGTGGACGTAAGATACAATACACAACTATGCAGAGTATGCTGTCAAATATATACTATGGAGATTAAAGTACGTTTACAATTCTGTAAGAGGAATATTTTGGCGACTAAACTTCGGGAGATGCTTAAACTCATTCAGGATTTATTCTAGAAGTCTTTAATCCCTCGCTTTTATATTTTATCATCACTTCAGTATTGAATGGTTTTAGGACTGCTAGATACTGACTGAATGTGGTGACAATTCTCGTACGAGACGAATGTGTACCAAACAACTAGTTTGATATTTATATTCCATTTTCATTAAAAAAAAGGAAATACAAAGTTCGATTGCATAAAGAATGGGTGTGCAACATTTTTCAACTCCAGATAACCAGAATTTAATAAACCACACCTAACCTCTCCGAAATGTACCACCCTAAAAGATTTCAGCCAGTTATCATTGATTATTATCCCCTTGGGTTCCGAGTGGAACACAGGGCTTCAACAACACATTTCCACTTTGTTGTATTTGGTACAATCTTCTTCAGCTGGGTCCACGATTGACCATAATCTCTCATTTCATCCCCGCACGATCTCATCCATGTCATCCTAGTAGTGACGACCCACTGGTCGTCTCCCATTCGGATTCGACTACAGCGATAACCTGCATTGCGCGCGATGTCATTCGACAGCCTTCTCAACGTATGCCCGATCAATCCATCTCCATTTTCTCCTACATATTTGTTGAGCAATCGGATCTTGGTTGGTTTGTTCCACGCCAGAGTTTCTTGTTCTTAATTCTTTCTGGCCAGCTGGCAATTCGATCCTCAGTATGGTGCCAGAGAAGGCAGCTTTTGATAAACGTCTGTAACCTGCTGGAAACCCTTTTCGTGACGCACACGCAGTGCAAGTTTCTCACCCACATCGAAGTATTGATTGTCTTCACATTTGTGTTGGAAATCCGAGTCTTGTTCTTTATGCTGAGGTGGAGTGCAGAAGATTTCCAAACTGCTTTCAGTTTGATGAAGGAGTATCTTGGCTTTCCGATTCTGGTTGGCTTTGACATCTTCATCCGTTCCGACTACCTGCGATTGAAACAGTGCTTCCTAGATAAGTGAAGGAGGTAATCTCTGTTAAATCTCTCCCATCGATCGTGACTGGTGATGGATGTTGCCGTTGTTTGGTTATCTTCAGCCAGTAGCAAGGCTAAACCCACTAATTCATGCCAAAAACTAGTAAACACTGTAATAATATAAATATGTACATAAAGATCACAGAAATATGGTTCAACTACTAATTACATGTGTATTTTACTTATTTATTTCGCATTTCCCGAAAACTCGTCACCGCTACAAAATAATAACGAAACCATCATGTTTTGTTAAGCATGTTGGCAACAAAACATAGTAGAAAACACCATCTCCACGTAAGAAAAATCGATCGGACTGAAGTCAATTATAAACAACCCGCATAACACGGATAAACAAGTATACATATATATATATATGTATATATATATATATATATATATATATATATATATATATATGCGCTTGTTTCCTGTAAACTTTTAGAAAGATTAAAAGCAATAAAAAAAGAACAAAAGGGATAAAACAAATGTTATACAATGAATTTGTACACACAGAGACTAATTTATGAGGATATATAGATATATACACGTACGCTCACTAGGACAGAGAAATAAACCAGTTTATATAGAATGTTTTAAAGTGACACTCACTTTACTTGTTACACAATCACGTAGTAGGAGTGCTTTTACACCATAGATGGTTTGATGACGATGGTAATCGATTAGCGCATTGATTGAGTTGAATTTATTTGTCCAAATGTAGTATTTACCGTTTGGGTCAAAAAATATGCGAAAATGCAACACGGATGAACCCTCCCTGTGAAATAGGTAACAAATAAACACAAAAATTAGGATTGTGAACCGTCGTGAAATACACTGATGCATACTACCATTAAACCGATAATTTTTTTTGGTTTCTCAGCAAAAAGAAAAAATTTTGAAATAGTGAGCGAATGGCTTGAAATCTGGATTGCAATAAAATCCATAATAATGAATCTGATTTCAGAAACAGATGCTGAATTCACTGCTGTTTCATCATGGTTATACTTTCTGAAGCACCCCATAACAAACAGCAGTAACAAGTGTTGGGAATCCACAGAAAACCTGGCAGCTAATCTGACAGCCTTACCTGGCGGAACACAGAAAAAGTACAACTCGGTCGCCAGAGAATGAACCACAGAGGTTTATATATATATATATATATATATATATATATATATATATATATATAGATGGAGAGAGGGAGGATGACAGAATATTGAGGAATGAATTCTCCTGTAGTGAATTACAAAAATCATTCATCAATTTGTATCCCCTATGACAGTTAAAAAATGGAAACTGCAGCAATGGGATCATTGGCTTCAATCCTGAATCGCATATGATGTTCACTTAAACCATTATGTTGCATGGCTTTTTCGACCATATTTAGAAAGTTGTAATGTGTCAACAGATAAAAACTCATAAAAAATGGCTTTCCACACTGCAATGCTAAGTCGCGTATATTTTGAATGTATACATATTTCTGAGACAATATGTAACACGTCTAAGCCATTGAAGCCTTATGTGCACAGGATAACTTTCCTCACTGAAGCACGCCCTTCATCAAGTTCAAACATGCACATCCGAAGCTCCATAAAATGTACACAATCATTAAGAAAAGATTATCAGAAATACAATTATTGGACAGTCGCAGCACGATGCACCTGCGCTTCAAAGTTGCGTAACGGAAATGGACGTACAGAAACCTGATGAACGCAATATTTGACAGTTACACTAACATCGCCACAGCGCAAGCGGATTAGTGTATGTGGTAGAAAACCTCACATATTGTGCCTCCACCAGCACTGACAAAGCTAGTCAGACATGCTCTTTGATTATTTTTACCAAATGATGAGTAGGTGATGGGGGGAGTTTACAGACAATTTATTAGCTTTTCCATGGTACCAGGAACATAGCACACCTACAGACACTAACGGCCTGCTGATTGGTTTGATTAGCCCATATATCACCATGAAATATTACAACATTCTGTGCATGCTCCAAGTCAAATAACCTTTCTCCAAGTATTAGATCCGAAAACTTAATCAGATTCTATAGAGCCATCAGTAGAATATCGTCAATGGAAATGCTAAAAAGGAGTGCCAAAGTTGAGTAGTCCCTCCTCTAACACCACTGTCGCCTCGAAAAAATGGTAACACGTAGTTTTACATCTTCACTTTACCTGAGGTGCTTTTGCATACGGCTTTGATGATACGATACACTTCCTGCCGTGGTTGGTCAACCAAATTGGACTCATACCATCGTTCCGGATTTCTTTGAAGGTTGTTGTTCGAGATTTCCATACCGTCTTTTATATCAGACCTTTCGTTGGAAAGGATTTATGTGAGATCAACCAGTTTTCGAGTGCTTCTAAATGCAACTGATGCTTACATTTCATTTATGCGTTTTGAACTCCTGGCCTTATGTTCACGTCGTAAGTATTGTGGCTTTAAGTGTAAAAATCTTATCAAGGTTACCATATTTGTTATTCATTGAAATAAACCGATAGGAATCAAAATGTTTCAGAGACATGGGAATCGAGTTTTTGTTGTCTAAACGAGTGGCTTTATTCACCCGAAACAGCACATATCAACACAGCAGCTTTCCAGGGTTCTAACCAAACCTACCAGCTGTTAGATTTGCATCGAGGTGTGAACGGGATACGATGTGTCAGAATAGCCTTGTCACATATGACACTGGATAGAAACTTTTTCAAACCAACTGCTGAAAACGACACAAACAGCGTAGGATTAAAAAATAACAATGAACAACTGAATGTAAGAAAGTTGAGAAATGTAAAGCTAAAAGTAATAATTCAAAAAAAAGTCTACATATTTGACTAAAATAAACTGATGAGGAAGTCCACGACGCAAAAGAATTGCTCATTTGTGGTAGATTTCAACTTTTTATTGAATATTCTCTTGATATTTCTGTATAAGGGCTGAGATACTATATGGATGTCAAGACTGAATCACGTAACATAGATAAGTGCATACTACTTGGTTGAAGTTCGTGAATCTTTAGAAAGCAGTGGTCATGGACCACTGATTACATTGCTTCAAATTCATCAAAAAGAAGCACATACTTTCAGTTTTGTGACCAGTATTGTGAATTTGAATCTATCATAGAGCGCATTTAGTCTCTTAAAACTTCACTATAAACTGCATAGTAGAGTTTTCAAGGTCTCTCATTTCATGTCAAATCAATGAAGCAAACTTACTGATCAAAGTTTTAACATCTCAAGTCAATGGTGTTTGACTTCACTTGATCAAGATTCTATAACAACCTTTCTTGTGTGCACTCTGTCTATAATTTAATAGTCAATAAGGATTAGTTTTTATGAATAGTCTAGTCTTCTATAAAAAACAGTGACGTGTAGTGACCACAACAATAGAATTCAAAGTAAAAGTAGGAGGAATGAGCCAGATATGAAAGAACTTAATTAGCATTTTAGAATGTCAGGAAAGCAAAACTGATAGTATTCCTTGTCTACCAAAACTAAACTAAGCCAGCAGTAATATCAGGGCACAATTACAATAACTCATTTGCCACTATCATACTCAAGTTAACAGTTAACTTAGGCTTACCCACTATTAGTTATGTTTAAAGGTCATTGTGTGCTAGACCACTGGCCAAGCTCACATTTGGGCATATATTTTTGTACCACAATGGATGCAACAAATGTAAAATTGAATTGACTTTCCCACCTTAACCACGTGATGAGGATATTACGACTGCACTGTAGGAAGCGACCAGAACAAGTATTATCTGGGGTTTACTGTAAAACAATGACAAACGCCCTTTTGAGAAACAGTCTGACTGTCCTCCACTTATTTCTCATTCATTCACTATCTAGCGGGAGTCTGAATGAGTGATCGACATACAACATCTCACACCTGCATTATTTAAATAAGTTTTAAGTGACCTTAAAAGAACGAAAGTTACTGAATCTGATAGATTATTTTTAAGATAATTGAGGATATCTGTCAGGACTATTAGTTAAACTAAGTGGGGCTTTAACAATCAGAATAGGAAGTGAATCAAGCAAGTTCCAATCATTTTGTATTTGTATTTATCATATGTGACGATCTATTTTGTATGCACTGTAATACATACTTATCATTTTCAACTTATTATTGTGCGGTTCCTTCAGCGTTCACTAAATCAAGTTGAATCTATTACCACACCACCTTTGCTTAGTATGAGCCAGTGACAAATCCAAAGTTGATCTACTTCAAACAAAAGAAATGCATATTGCAGCATGCTAACGTGTAAAAATTAATTGTTTCCTTGGAAACACGCTTGAAAAACAACATCGACGTAAGATCAGAAGACTAAGTCGTACCAGCAAACAATCCTCTGAAATGCCACTTGCCTATTGGTGCTCCTATGGTTCAACCATTCTCTTTTAACGACAGAAGACAAGGGTCAGACAACAGATGGTTTTTACAGAAAATCAAGAGATATTTATAGATTTTTATGTACATTATTATTCATTATTGTTAGCAGAGAAGCAACGTCTTCTGCTTGGTTGTTTTCTTGTTGAAGGTGATTCTGTCATCTCTCTGTGGCCATTCCTTAGAAAGTCAGGCCATATATCTGCGAATCCCACTTGCACACGTTAAGTCTGCTGTGATTGGCTGATGAGTTCCTCAAAGTTAAGCATTTTTTCAGTCTTTTTCTCATGACCCCGACTCGGGACGTAACACTGACGTAAATTGTTGTCTGCGATTTTGGTTTGCAGCTAGCTCTCATCACACTCTGAATTGACTGGTGCAATTTCCGACACTTTTGTGCCACTATTCAGTCACATCGGTAAACGCATCATTAAGAAACATAAGAAACATCTAGTTTTCGTGCTTCACCAAGAGTCGTCGTTTTGCTCTGCATGTTAATAAACAACATGTGGTGTGTTGTTGGTGCTTGTAGCTAGACACTATCACGTCATTACTTTAGGTTTACCATATATTACGAAGTCACTTTTCACTGATAAAAGTGCATATCCAATTTATATCTTTCTTCAATAGGTACAACAAGACCTCTACATAAGACTAACGCAAGGCCATATACTCTGAGGCTTTTAGCGGTCGGTTCAGTGATTATTCAAGTTGTGCGTTTATCAAAAATAAATGTTCAGAAACTCTTTGACTGATGCTAACTATGGTTCTCTAACTGATATCAATCCGTGATCAACCCGTAAAACATAACTAATCCTTACAAACCAAACTATACAAAGTTAACTATTTAGTGTTTTCATAAATGCACTGATATCATACACCATTATAGGTACTGACGTACTGAAACAATGAGGAACTATGATAGTTACAACACACAGGACGGATAGGTACCACTGTCCAATGTATTGCTCATAGCGCCAACAATGATAAGGACTATCCAGTAGAGTAAACCCCTATAGTCAAATCAGTTACAGCATAGATACTTGGGGGGGGATAATACACAAGCTGTTTAAAACCAAATGATACACCTTCTTGTAGGTTTACTCTTAGTTCAGCGACGTAATCACACACACACACACACACACACACACACACACACACACATGAATCACCAGGATAGTAGTGGAGATCTACGCGCTGATTAGCCTCGCGTACTTATTACAGGAATGAAAACCATGATAAGAATAAGTTAAAAGCCATCCTCCCCACAGTTTCAACTCAAAATCTAGCATCTACCAGTAGTAAAGTAACCCGTTTATAACCCAACAGTGCAGTCAGCTAATATAAAGTTACACAATGACTGATCTGTCAAATCAACAAA